GGAAAGAGACGAGGACGAGATAATTGTAAGTCACCTGCTCTCGCCGTCTGTTTACACTTCCTCCTTTTCTACTATACTCTCTCCAACTCCGCCATCTGGAATATGACGCGCGCAGTATTCAGAAATGGAAAAGACAGCCAGCAGCGAATTCGTGATCTTTATATTCTGACGTAGTCAGAGTTGTATACCAGACTCGAAATCGTATCACGATATTTCCATACTGCGGTTGTCCCTCATGCTGGAATGGTGAAGACGGCAGGAATTAAGATTCGTGCCGACAGTCATGTCTGTCTAGCCATCGCTATGACACATAAACTACCTACTTTTCGCTTTTCCTCTTGTTATTGCTTCACGAAACCAAGTCCCCAGGGAAGAATTGGGAGGGGGGAGGAAGGGAGGACCTGGCAAGGAACATAGCACTAATCCGGGGATGGCATGATCGCAACCGACTGAGCAGCTGGCTAAACACCCTGTTGTCGACAAACAAAGAAATCTCCTGAGCTCTGAGCTCTTTCAAGCCTCGTCATCTACCCCAGTAACTACCAATTTCTTTTCTCCAACCCTTTCCAAACCAGGTTCAGTCTGGACAACTCAAGAAGCCTTTGGACTTGATTGCTTATCGTCATTACCTTCCATGTGAAAGTGCTCCGACTTTTTTCAGTCATCTTGTTCCCACATGAGTCGCCATAGCAAGTACACCTAGTCAATGGCTTTGGAGTCATGATGGTTGGGTGCCGGCAGAGTGATGCCGTCGTATTCAATCTTGTCCACTCGGCTGTTCAAGGGTCCTTGGTCGATCTACTTAGATGAGGTCCTCCCTGTTGAAGGATGACAATTATCATGAATATTATAGGCTGATCACATAGTATCGAAATAGATTCTGCATACAGTCACTATATCTAGCCCAGAGACAAGTAAAGGTGCTGATCTACAGCCGGCTTGGTCGTCTCCATCAGTCATCGCCTCTCGGGAAACCTTTCCAGATACTCGGTCAGGATAATGTTTGGTCATCGAGAGAGGCTATATCACCCCAGGAGTGGATATACTATCTACGGTAGACACACGGAAACCAACGTTTGACGGGGACTTACCAGACCATATAGAAGGGCGCCAGATGGCCAACCTCGCTACGGGTATGCAATATCTGAATCTCGGCCATTGTCACGTCCCTATAATCACAGCTTGGCCTTTGATTTTTCATCATCATATCTGATCGCGAAGCTGTAGGTCGGGTCATAATGCATAGCCCAATATTTGTCCCAGAGCTTCTTCGTGATCGGACCAATCTGTCCCCCATTCACAGGCTTGCTATTCAACTCAGTGATGGGCATGATTCCACCCGCTGTCGTGCACATGAAAATCTCATCGCACCGATATACCAACTCGACTGGCACAGCCTCGAGGTAAATTTTGATCCCACACGCTCGTGCAACATCAATGACACTCATCCTGGTGACACCATGTAGCACACCGCGATCAGGCGTATAAATTGCACCGTCCTTGATCAGAACAATATTATAACCGGATCCCTCCGTGAGATGGCCATCTCCGTCCGTCAAGAACGGGTACATTGAACCTCGATCCGCAGCCTCGAGCATACCTCGAGTTAAGTCACCCCATTGTAAGTTCTTCACGGTAGGGTCGATAGCGCCTGGGGGCACCCGACGTACAGTTCGCGTAATAACAGCACTTCCACCGACCCGTTGGACCTCTGGATCCATGACCCAGACATAGGGTTGCACAAACATGTATAGGTTGTTTACTAAATCCTCCGGCTTGACACCGCGAACGCTCTGCAGTCCCCGCGTCACAATCAGAGCCACATAAGCGTCCCGAATACCGCTTTGAGCGACCATCCTAACCAGTGTTTCCTTCACTTCATCGCGGGATACAGGCAACTTGAGACGCGATTTGGCGCAGGCCAAACTGAGTCGGGAGAGGTGGTCATCTAGGCGGAAGAACCGGCCGTCCCAAACGGCGATGACATCGTAAGTCAAATCACTGCGCAGAAAGCCTTGATCGATTAGGGGGATGCGGGCCTCCCTGAGGGGAACTAGTTGTCCTTCAACCCAAGCGATGCCCTTGGCGTAGGGATTTTGACAGGCTTCTAGTTTCGCTCGACGAGCGGCATATCCAGTAATAACTTGGTTCATGGATGCCATGATGCAGTAGACCGAGGTATAAGGACCGATAGTAGAATTACTGGTCGGGTTTCGTCTTGATGATAGCCAAGAAGTGAGGGACAGCCCCAGGGGGGACGCAAGGTGGCTACGAAAGATGGAGTCGAGACTGACGTGTCTCCAAGGCAGGCTACCACATTAAGTCAGATCGGAGAAGTGTGCCTATCAGGGTGCATAATGCTGTCGGTGGGACACCGATAAGGAGCAAAACAAGCATCCTTGCCTGCCGGGCGCTCGAACAAGGCTCCCATCGAGCGGGGACTGTCATCCCGGGAGTTCGGGACGGTTGGATTGCTGTCACTCACTCCTACTCCTCGGTTCCTTTGCATACGCATATTTCCCGGTACTATAGTGATGTGGACTATGACCCCTGCGGCTAGAAGGTGACAAGGTTCAAGGGGTATGATATCTCATACTCATTGTCAAAAGAGACATATATTTTATGTCACCATAGTCCACTGTCTATTGCTAGGGAGCCAACAAAAACCAGACATACGCCTCTATCCGCCCTTATGCTGCAACCACTATAGGCTTCAGAGGATAAATGTGTTCCTTTTTCCCTTCCCCTCTGCTTCTCATTCCAACTTGTACAATTAGCAAGATGATACAGCAATTGTTAAGATCGGGTCATGCTACGCGCCGACTACCCCCTTTTTTCCTTTCGACAACAACAGGGCTCGTTAGAAGACACACGTTCCGCGTGGCGGACAAGGCATTCTATTCGCATTCAACGGCTACGAGGAAAGCCCAAGGAGATTTGCGGATGTATCATACACCGATTTCTCACGATCACTTGACACCAACAGATCGTGGTCGCGATGATCGCGATGGTGTACACCTAGATCTCGATCCACATCATTACACTAGTGGGCGCTGGCTTCGCAATGACGATGAGGAGCGAGCCTCTCGCTACATTCAATTCGACTTTGATGCCCTCTGTCGCAAAGTCCTTACTCTATCGCCAGGTGCACGTACCATCACGAGATGTCAAAAAATGGAAGGTGGTTTCAACCGGGTCTTCATTTTCGAACTGGACAACGACAAACGAGTGGTTGCAAGACTTCCGTTTTCGCTGGCTGGTCCGGCACGGCTGACTACCAGTTCTGAGATCGCAACGATCGAATATCGTAAGTTCCTCTCATCATTCTTTCGCTTCACTGGCTTATGGTGCACTCCGCTCTTCAGTGCAAGCCAATACTACCGTTCCTATACCCAAGATACTCGGCTGGAGCAACGATGCCACGAGCATCGATAATCCCATTGGCAGCGAATACATCATCATGGAGCATGCAACTGGTGTTCAGTTGCACAAGACGTGGCATGAAATGGACGGTAAAAAACGTATCAAGTGTATAGACGCAATCTACCGGAAGCTTAAAGAAGTGGTTGACCTACAGTTTCCGTGCTTTGGGAGTCTGTATTCTATACACAGTCCCGTAAGCCCCGACAACAAGCGTGTGCTTGACGGAGAATTCTGTATTGGACCACATTGTGGAACCAGATACTGGAACTGTGACGTTGGAAGAGGCCAAGCTTCACAAGATACAAAACCCAACCGGGGGCCCTGTGGGTTATCAAAATCAACCCCACGGCTTCAGTACTGGCTAACCAATAACGACTAGGGAATGACCTTTATGAATACTACGATGGCCTTATTGATGCTGGTCTATTGAGGCTTCCGGCTGTGGACTCGGAAACGAAACGACGACCGATGTATCATGGCTCAGTCGAAACACACAAGATGCTTCTAGCTCAGACGCGAGACCTGATGAGATGCATGTCTCAGGATTCCCGGATAAAGGACTGTGCGACACCAGTATTGTTTCACCCAGACCTTCACAAGAGGAACATATTCGTCTCAGAGGATGATCCTTCTGAGATAACGGCTATCATTGACTGGCAGGCCGCTAGCATTGAGCCGGCGTTTTGGTATGCGGATGAGATTCCCGACTTTGCAACGGAGAATGAGGTCTGCACCAGAGCATTTGATGTCTGCACCCAATTTCTTATACCCACGCTCTCAAAGCCGAGATTGATGGACCAAAATCTATTCCGACCATTTCGCTACAGCTACAGGACGTGGAAGGATGGAGCTGCGGCACTACACCACGACCTGATTGACACATCTCAAAACTGGGAAAAGCTAGGCTTTGCAGGACCATGTCCTTACGCAGTCCCTCCACCGCATGAAGTGGCAGATCATCAGAAGAAGCATAGACTTTTTGAAGCAGCGCATAATCTGCGTTATGATCTGGCAGGCTTGCTCAACACAGCCACTGATGGCTGGGTACCAACGGGTGACTGGGAGGCGGCGCAGACAGCGCATCATGAGATGTTTGATGGAATGTTGCAGGCCGTATTGACTAATCCTGAAATCGACGATCCAGATGAGCCTGTGAAGGATGAAGAGACACTGAGATCCATATGGCCTTTTGATATCTAAGGTTCCACTTCAGTCTGTTTGTGTGGACAATGGAGTCATCCCATAATACCCATCACCTCGCGAAACTATTGAGCACCTATGTCACGGGGCTACGGAATAGGGGCTTGAGATGATAAATCAGAACTCCCAAAGATGGTTTAGATTCCGCAGTGACAGAATGAGAATCTTCACAGTCACCGGTGGAAGTATCATCTACCATGAACTCAAATTACAACTTATATGACAAAATTGATCTCGCCTCCTGGGGGCGAGCAGCCCAAGTGGTCAATGCACAGGCTTCCAGAACATTGTTGAAGAAATACATCATGTAGGACAGGCCGGCCGCTTCTGAAGATATGGATCTACTATTGAACCAAGATCCACCTTATAGTGGGCTAGTTTATTGTCCGCAAGTGATCGACCTCCCGCGTGTTCCCCCGGTTTGTCGCTGTCAGTAAACTTCGATAGTCGATCGGCTAACTTCTCCGTCAGATGCTCGGCCACGCGTAGACCTCGTATCCATGAGCTAATAACGCCCTTGCTTTCAGGGACCCCCTGATGCCGGTGAGGCGATCTTCTGCCGTTCATACCCTTAATCGTGCTTCATCCAGCGATCCCCCTCTAGTCTCTCTCCGCATCCGCACCCTCCCTGCATTTGTTCCCACTTGCGCCATCCTACCCATGAGGAGTAAATCGGGGGCCTGAGCGGCCCTTGTTGGCCCCATTGTCCTTTGCATCCACTCGCAGATCCCCTTCTCCTCGGTCCCTGAGGGTGGCGACCCTGGTCGACGTTCAATAAATCTCCCACTATCCTCCCTCCCCCTCACTACACCATGCCATCTTTGTCAACCATGTGTCCCCCTCACCCATGCTCCTCAAACGCGACACCCCTTCAGGGCGCCTTCTCCCCGACATATACCGAGACTCCCATCAAGTCCACATCTTCACGGCCTTTGCCGCCATCGCCTGCTACAATGCCATCGAACTCATCATCCTCTGTCTCTCGACCTTCAAACGCCGAGGCAGCGTCTACTTCTGGTCCCTCCTCATTGCCTCCTTAAGCATCTTCCCGCAGTGCGTAGGATATATTCTCCTCTTCTCCCGACCCCAAATCTCGCCCTACGGCTCCGTCACTCTTATCATGATCGGCTGGTGCGGTATGATAACCGGCCACTCACTCGTCCTCTGGTCCCGTCTCCATCTCGTCCTCCAGGATCCCACAATCCTCCGCTATCTACTCCGTCTCATCATTCTGGATGACATCCTCCTCCAAATCCCCATAACAGTCCTCCTATACGGAACTGTCTCCACACACTGGAGACTCTTCAACCACGGATACAACATCATGGAGCGCATCCAGCTCGTCGGCTTCTGTCTCCAAGAAGGCCTCCTCTCCGGTCTGTATGTCTGGGAAGCTGCGAAGCTGCTACGACTTCGTCCTGAAGACCGACATCGTCGTATCCTGGCGCAGCTGATTGTGATTAATATTCTGGTCTTGATACTTGATATAGCCGTCGTCGGTATCCAGTACGCGGGCTACTATGCCTTGCAGGTCATGTTCAAGCCTGTCGCTTATAGCATCAAGCTGAAGCTTGAGTATGCGATACTAGGACGGCTGGTGGATGTTGTCAAGAAGGTCAATACTCAAGAGTCATTGAGTACTCAGGGCTTTGATATGCTGCCTTCGTCATCGGAGGGATTGAGACCGAGAATGGAGAATCATGTAGATAGTGGTCCTGGGGGCTTTCTGTATCCTCAAAAGGTGTATACTTCGTCTCGGGGCTCTTAAATGGAATTATGTATATAGTTATGATAGAATTGAACGGCCGCATTAGATCAGAGAAGATGTTTCGCATTTTATTTCCTAAGACACTGCATTTACACTCCTGGTGCTTGGTGCTAGTCCCATTGTCCATCACGTATGCATTTGCGCTTAAACGCCCTCCAACTCCATCGAACGCTAACTTCCACACATGATCAGACTATCACCCCATATCCGACATGCAAGTCATTCTCCGCTATGAATATAACGCACAGCAGTGTACATCAACGCCAAACTCCGTCCCTATCAATCCCTGCACCATACCTCACTTACCACCATCCCGAGCACAAACCCATTCAACAACATCCCAGCCCTCCCCATATAATCAATCACACCAACTCCCACGGATTAATACCATCATCCCTCATCCTCTCCCTCTCCTCCAACTGCCTCACCCTCCTTCTCAACGTCCCCAAATGCATCTCCATCTCCGTAAGAGCGCGTCTCAAAAACGGCAGATCATCAATCGTCTCCGGACCCAACGGGAAAGGAAGAATACTTCCATCGAGGCGAGAAGTATCAGGCGAAGAGGTGAGCATATCATTTCTCTCCGACTTGATCATTGGACCCGAGTCCCCCTCTCCATCACGACTGGTAAACCCCATCTCACTTCCGGTAGGTGTTGGAGTAGTAACTCTCGGTCTGAGATTATACGGTCTCGAACGAACGAATCTGCGCCCTCTTCCCCTACCCCTACCTCCACCACGACCAGAAGCAACAGCAGTAGTTGAATATCCCCTTGACGCAGACGGCGGTGGAGTTGTGAGCCCAGCTTCACTCCCGACTTCATCCTTAATTCTAACCGGCGTCTCAGGCTCAGGTTCCTCAACCTGCACATCTACTACAGTCAGCCCACACCCTCCCCCTCCCCCTCCCCCTTCCAACTTTACCCCCCAGAAAGATAAGTACTTACTAAAACTACACCCCCTCCTACTAAACCGACACGCCGCACAAGCACCATGCGCACTCATCCCCTCCCTAGTATCGAACCCCACCACGCACGTCTTCCACACGCCTTTACCCTCTCTGCAATGGAGACACGGCTCTGGTGGCTCACATCCGCGTGTTTGTGCGAATGCTGCCGTTAGAGACACAACGTCCTTCAGTGGTCGGCGGAGCGGCTCGTTGGTGGTCTCGTCGGTGCGCCATTCGAGGTGGCGGAGGATGGGCAGTTGGTGGTATTCGAGCATTGAGGAGCTGGGGCGGGTGCCGAGGTGGGGGAGGTCGTTGTGGGTTAGGCCGGGGAGGACTGGGACTTTCTAGTTAGTTGGTGGGGATTGGTGGGATGGGGGATGGGGGGAGGCGTACGCTCTGAGGGGGGGATTTCGACGTGGACGGAGGGGATTGGGTTGGGGGTGCGGTGGTGAGATGGTGGTGAGGTTGAGGGATGGGGTTGGGGTTGGGGTTGAGGTTGGGCGTAGTTGAAGATTCGGAACATGATTGGGGCTGGTTGTGGTGGTTCTTGCATTGGGATTGTAGTTTGGATTTGGGAGTAGAGGATGGTAAGATGTTGATGAAAGGGGAAGTTGAGTTGGAGATGAGTTGGTAAGAGGAGGAGGGTCTTGAGGTGGAAGATATGTAAGAGGCTTGATCATGGTATGGAGTGTGTTACTTGCTAGTAGCATTGGAGCTGTTGTAGGGCTTGCTTGGCTGGTGGTAGTGAGTGGGACTGCAGTGAATGGGATAGTGGTCTTATGCTGAGAGAATATTCAGCTGTGCTGGGTAAAGTCGACTATGGATTGTAATATGAAGGATAACACTCGCATTCGAGTCCGAGATGATAACAGAACTTATCCTGGGGGTATTCAGCAGGGGCTGGTTTGATTGTATGTGTGATTGCATCTATCCCTTCAACACGGTGTTGACTATGAGACTACGCATTAGCTTTAGATGTGGAGAAAATCAATTTGGTGCTATATCAATTGGTTAGAAGTCCCCGCTGGTATCAATCAAAATATATTCCATCCTTCCCATCTACTTCCCCAAGCAGCAACTCCCTCAATGCCTCATCGGCACCAACTAGCTCCTCCACCTCCTGTGCAAATCCCTCCTTCGCTTCAATCACCTCGTCATCCTTGGCGATCTCCTCATCTGGATTCTCCAAAACCATCCTCAGCAAATAGACCACGCCCTTTAGCTGCATCTTCAGTTTTATCAACTCTTCCTTTTTACCCTCTTTCCCTCGCTCCGCAGCCTCCTCATCAGCCACGGTAAGCCAACATGCCGCCACGGCTCCCTGTATCTCCCCTCTCCAGCGCCAAATCCTCGGGTGTGCATTCAAAATCACAGCTCTGGTAACAGCCACTCCTGCCAATAGGAGAGGTGGATACGCCGTCCCGAAGGGATTAGACAGCGTACTGTAGATGAGTGGGATGATTTCTTGTAGGTACTTTGTTGTGTGAACTGCGAGATCGAAGAGACTATCGTGTATCTTGTTTAATAGAAGAGTAGACAATTTCGGGTGGGGGAACGAGGACAGCGTAGATTGTGTCCCGCTGGAGGGCGTCAGGGTGCTGATGTGGTGGAAAGAAGGGATGAGGTTCTCGCGAAGGACTTTTGTTAGCTCGGTGGTGTAGGTTTGCTTATCCTTGGGTAAGTAGCTGGTTCTGAGGAGTAAGAAGAGGGTTGGATAGGCTGTGCTTAGGAGACGAATGGAGTCGGGTTCAGGTGTTATGGTGGGTAAGGAGAGGAGACATGGTTTGATGGCATCGATGAAGACAGAGGATAGGTTGGTACGTTTCAAAATATCGGATTTGGCTTGCTGGATGGGTTGCAGGAGATGGGTGAGAAGAGTGCAGCCGTCAGCTTTGTTGGGGTTGGTCTCATCGTCAATCAGGGCGAGAATTGGTGGGACGAGGAGGGGGAAGTGGGATTCTAGACGGCTGATGTCTGGTGCCTGGACGCTGTTAGTGACAAGTAATATGGTCAGTTGAAGATGGATTTACCTGATATTGCCTTAGGATCCAGGCAAAGACGGTCGTCGCGTAGACGTCTGATGATCGCCATGGTTTCGACTCAGGGTCAAGGATGCTGGTATCAAATCTGGGAAGAGGGATAGGGTGCATGTCCTTGCGACCTGCTGCTGTGATGGCGGGGTTCCTGGTCCTCGTAAAGAGAGGTCGGATTCTATCCTTGAGGATGGTTTCAAGGACAGCCCAGAAGGATGCCTCTGGTGTCGGGGGTGATGTGCGAAACCTTTCAAGAATGGCAATGGAAGCCGTGTGTGACTCGGCTGTTGTCCACGGGTCTGCTTCGGATGTGAAACTTGCCAGTGCGAGGATGATGTTTGGCACGTCTGCTGCTTTATACACTGGATATAGAGAGTCCAAGGCTGCGATCACGGATATTGAGAGTGATGATCGCAGCTTATCTTCATGCATAAGAGCGTTCTTCTCTTCTGGGCTACGTCAGCATATTTGAGAATGTGAGAGGGGAAATCTATCAACCCACCACTGGGCTCTTCCATGGATTCCGCATACACTGCAGATGGAAGAGCATGCCTACTCGCCCAGGCATAGATGTGATTTGCTGCGGCGGCATCAGGTTCTGATAATTCATTGGAGTTCCGCAGTCTCAGGAACTCCCGAGCGAGATACAAGTTCTCAGATGCCTGCAGTGCTCAGTTAGCATTGCTGCCTCAGTGCGAAAACAAATTGGCTTATCATACAGTTGCATTATCTTTGTCCGCGTGGGCTGAGATGGTGTCCCATAAACGGTCCAATTCTCTAGGAACGACGACATTATCCAGCCGCGAGTCTGGGATATGCGCATCACCGCGACCTAGGCACTCACGCGCCGCCGTTTGAAACTCTTCCATAGACACGTCTATGTACTTCGCTATCTACAGAAATGTGTTTGTTGAACGGACAATCGGTTGTCCATAGAAAGGTAGCTTCGGGCCACAGGTGACTCGGGGATCCATCGCCGTCGGCAATCGAATTTCTCGAGCGGTAAGAAACGGGAGCCGAGAAACGGTCCTTACATTACCCAACCAGACATCGTTTAGCTGCAACTTAATACTATATGAGCGGTTTCTTTAATTCTTTTCCTCCTCTATCTGTAATTTTTACCGTTACTATCCAAGTTATATTCATTTTTTATGGTACCATGCATATGTCAAAGAAAAAAAGGAAGAAAGAACAAAAATGATTACTCATTAAAGGTAGTATATATCTCTGGGTTTTAACAAGTCTACCTGATCCAGTTAAGAGTCTTTGGTACATGTGTCGACACATACTGGACCAAGACGAGGTAGATAATTGCACGTTCTATCGTCCAATGACTATCTTATTTTCTCCGACCATACTAAGACATCTAGTGAACATGTATATCATGGATTAACATGCCAAACACAAGCAACTGAGAGCAGGATGTCACCCGCTATTTCAGCAAAATCAGCGTTGACCTAACACATTGGAACTCTCATTGCATCGCTCTATCAATATAAATAGACACATGACGCTGCACATGGCTGATCTGAGGTAGCTTTGTTTGTAATAGGGCTATCAAGTGGGATCCCTCAGGTGAACAATGCTTCGGGAGGCGCCGTTGCTGAGCCAATACAGTGGCAAACACTAGACATGTAATGAGATGATCAGTGAACTGTCAACCTGTCAGAGTAATGTAGAAAAAATGTCTGCCATCACAGGTCCAAGTCTTAGCGTGGACGGTCTCTATGCACTATGGCATACTTCAGTATACATTTCCACGCGATATCGTACTTTGGGGGTATTGAGTACTCACATTCTTCTTACACTGTGAAGGATTGAGCGGACATTCAAAATTGAGTGGCTCTGCTGGGGTTTGGATCCTCAGAGGAATACACGCCGCCCACCAACGAACTGGCCACATAGAACAGAAGACCGAGGTAACGCATATCTGCCTGCTTGTGCTCAATATTGCAATGATCGTGTGTATAAATGAGTTGAGCATGGGAGGCTTCGATGTTCAAAAGATATGGGATGAGATATGTATTTGTAGCCTTCATTGCATGATCAAACTGTGGACACAGTCATCATCCCTATTGCACAGGTCATATGTGGGCTCGATTGAGCTGAGGGAATTATCATCATCAGCCAGCCACCATTTCCTAAAGGTTGGTTCATGTGAGCTATTGTAGATGCAGATTGGCCTTGACTACACATGCTGTATTACCCCATACTGCACGATTGAGGTGTTTGAAGTATTATCAGGTGTGTATAGGCTGTGCCATGGACAGTGGAAGAACGAAAGGCAGCAGTCGATAGATCCGGCATGTACTGCTTGATTCAACACATGAACTAATGCAACTCGTCTGTCTGGGAACATGTCCTTAGTTCCCTAGTTCAGATGTCAGGAAAATGCCAACCCTGAAGGACGGCTGTGGTGGTTGCTACATGGAAGCAATACATCCCATCCCCTTCACCCCATGGAGATTTCCGAGCCCTACGCAAGGGACTTTTCGTGCGACTCTTCAATCCAAAATACATCAGACAGGGATTAGACACCAGTCTTCATGAAACATTGTCATTCGAAATCAATAATACTTGCTGACGATGTCGGGTGGCCGGACTTGAGGATGTGGATGCACAAGCATGTGGGATATAAACCACCCAGAAACAACTCACGAGATGTCTGGATTTCTAGCTTGCCACTCGAAACATTCTAGGTATTCATATCCACTCTGCCATGCAGCTAGGGAGAAAGATGGATTGTAAGGCATAGGGTATTTGTTGGATTTGTATTGCTGAGTACCGTCTCCAGACATCCATGTGATCCATGCTAATACTTCCTTACATTAGCTAACTAGTGGACACTGATGTGGTCTATGGATAATGGAGGATCCCTTCCCTGCCTGAGCGATCACCCTTACTCAAATTGGGTGAGGCCTTGCCGTGCGATTCGGCGCAATGAATGTGCCCATTTCGCAGTAATCCACGATCGTCATACTATATGACACAGACCTGCTTTAGATACCAGACCGAGGAAACGTGGGCCGAGAGCTTTGCTTCTATCGTTGCTAGAGGCGCCAAATGAAATCAAGGACGAAGTAGGATTTCCCTTGGATCCTCCCACAAAGCCAAGTATTGTTGAGAGGAGTGATCAACAGTGTGCGTACCCATAGAGCAGCCATGATATTTCTGTTACTATGTTGAGATGCCTAGCTCTTCCTTTCTACGGGACAGCTCTTCTAGCACCTTTTCCTTCTCGGTAACCTCCGGGTGCAACAGCTGCCATTTGATCGACATGTCCAAGGCTTTCGACATCCAAGGACCAGTCTTGCAACCAAGAGCCTTCACAATCTCTCCGCCGTTGGCGAGTGGCTTCAGTTCAAACACATCCTGTAGGTCTTGCTCTTTGATGTAGGAGAGGAAGCGGTCGTACGATTCCAGAACTGCCATCACGTAAGCATCAGTTTCTTATAAAGACAATGGGCATGGAGAAATCCTTACCGCTGGT